GATATTATGAAGAAAATGTTGTTGTTGTTGTTGTTGTTNNTGTTGTTGTTTTGTGTGTGTGTGTGTGTGTGTGTGTGTGTGTGTGTGTGTGTGTGTGTGTGTGAGAGAGAGAGAGAGAGAGAGAGAGAGAGAGAGAGAGAGAGAGTTTATGTGTTCAAGCCCTTGAATTTCTTGTGTGAACAGGAAAGCAATTGTAGATTCTGTGGTGCTGTATTTCATCAGTCAGAAATACCTTCAGGTCTGCATTTTCTCCGCTTGCAGTTCAACTAAAATAACATATGCTTGCGGGGGGGGGAGCAATAAAACACATGCTCTAAAAATATAGTACTTTGCTATTTCAGTGCTTCTTTTTCCCTTTAACTCATTTCTTCATGGCTGCTTGGGCAAATCTGAAATCTCAGCATATCTGAATATGCCTGAGTTACATACTGGCAAAATGTAGAAAAGCACTAGCAGCACTGATTCTCAAGTGTCTGTAATGACAACTAGGTACACGTTGATTTTCTGTGGACCAACATGGGATCATAATTCATCCAGCACAATGAACATGCTATCTCATCACAATGAGCATGCCAAAAAGAATGCATGACCTACCACTGGACCAGAAAGGTGTGCAGCAGCTTATAAAGGGCAAGGATGAATCATTCTAAGTAGAAACATTTGTGGATGAAGTCTTCCATTTTTTTCAATCCAAACTGTGCCATCTGTGATCCATATATCATAGCTATATGCCAGTGTGAACTGCCTTTTGAAACAATAAGCTCTTTCCTGCTACTTCTTCAAGTACAAAAGGCTACTTCTAGTACAAAAGGTGTGATGGGGACTCTCATGGTCTCTTTTTGTCACATGGGTAGCTTTGCTTCTTTTCAGACTTCCATTTTTAGTGCCACATGGGGTTCCCCTTCCTGTATCCCTCTGCTCCTTTGTCTATGTGAACTGCTTGCAACCCGTTGCCATGAAAGTCACACATTTATTGATTTATACTTTGCTGGGATTCAGTGTAGTTTACAGGAAGATCAAGATAGGTAAACACATACAAAAATAATATTAAAGCATGATTGAATTAAAAGCAATTTTAAAACATATTAATAAGAAATCACAGCATCCAATAGGTAAAAAACCCCTTTTCTACAGATTAGTCAGTTGCCAAATATTTTACACATTATGAAGAAACAATGTACATTTTTATTGTATATGAAACAAATTTCTAATTCAATTTAATCAGAATCAGAATTTTATGCTGCACCAATTGGAAGTGCTACAAGTTGGAGAAAGATTTTTGACATTAATTAAAGCAATCTATACCCAGCAAAAGACAGACGTTAGAATCAATGGAGAGCTGATGAAAGAAATACAGATACAGAAAGGTACAAGACAGGGGTGCCCGCTCTCTCCATTACTATTCATTCTTACTCTAGAAATATTAAGTGAGAAAATTAGAGATTAAAAGGAAATAAAAGGACTGAAAGTAAGAGGTCATACTTTTAAGTTCCAAGCTTTTGCAGATGATCTAGTTATTATATTGGCGGATCCAATGGAATCAATTGAAGACCTGATGGAGATGTTGATGAAGTCTGGTGATATGGAATGAAAATAAACCAAAAGAAAACAAAAATAGTTGTTAAAATTATGAGAAATCAAGAACAACAGAAATTAATAGAAAGGACTACCTTTCAAGAAGAGAGGAGAGTCAGATATTTAGGGATCCAAATCACAAAGAAAACTAATAATTCAAAGACAATTATATGAAGTTCATTAAAGAGATACAGAATAGCTTGGAGAGATGAGACAAATTACAGTTGTCATTGATGGGAAGAATAGCAACCATCAAAATGAATGTTCTACCTAAATTTTTATTTTTATTTCAGACAATTCCCATAATATTAAAACGGTCATTTTT